GGGTGTTGCAGGGAAGGGAGATTGAGAGCAAATACAAACACTGGACTTAGTGCCTCAGAGGCCACAGTGAGGTGCAGAGGTGGATTTATATGTGTATATGAAGTTTATTTGTTCCTTTTGGAGGTTTTGCTTAGGGTTTTTTTTAAGGCCAAAAGGGGGTTTTTTTTTTGTTTTTATTGTAGCTTCTACTAAGGCTTCATACTCCTGCAAGTGAGATTTATACCTTGATTTTGTTTTAGTTTGATTTTGAATAGAAGAACTGGGCTATAGGCCAGAGGTATGAGGGGGCATGTGTATGAGAAGATTCAGCAGGGACAGAGTGGGGAGCAGAACAGATGGATTGACTGAAATCCACTGCTGAGGGGGGCAGCAGGGAGACAGGAAAGGTCTGCCGGGTCCTGTGGGTCGCCCCCTGGATGGGGATTGAACTCAGACTGTAGTGGTCATAGCACTGAGACTTAACCCCTCGGCCACCAGGGAGTCCCCCGGCACCTAGATTTTGAATGACACACGGCTTCATAAGTGCTGACTTTACTCCTTAAGAGTAGGGTGGGTGGCCATTCATCAAAGCCATCTTGTGAAACCACTTCTGTATTTATAAGTTCTCTATTTCTGAGAAAATAAAATAAAACAAGAATAAGGCATATTTAAGATGGGAGAAATTGATTTCTACAGAGTTAGAAAGGTAGATTTGGAGTCTTCTTCCAAACTCAATTTGTCATAAAAACTATGTTCTCTAAGCATGGAAAAGTCCTACAGATAACTGATTGAAGACAGTTGATCTGATAGTCATATAGGAAATGACTCGAAGGTAAAAGAAGAAATTGGCCACGGAAACTGATTAAGGAATAGCATTAGTAACCCACATAGTGACTGTATTTCCCAAAGTAAAAGGGAATTAGGCAATGAGGCCTCTAAGCTTTTTTTTTTTTTAAATATTTATTCATACAGAACTGGGGTATGGGCCAGAGGATTCATCAGAGACAGAGTGGGGAGCAGAACAGCAGATGGACGAAGTACACTGCTGAGGGGAGCAGCGGGTGGGTCAGGAGCCGTCTGCTGCACCATGTGGGTCACTCCCTGGCTGGGGATCGAACTGGCGGTGAAGTGGCTGCTTCGAGCTTCATGGTGCTGGGCTTTCACTTGTTGCACCACCAGGGAGGGCCCGCTATTGATAAGACTCTTAACTATTATAGTTGAATTTCAATTTTAATTAGACTCCTCCTCACTGAATTGCCTTTTCTGAGACTGATGCAATTCTCAGATCATTTTGGTGAAGGATTTGGTGGGAGAATTGTGAGGACAATTAATCAGGGCTGCAGGACTGATTTGCAGTTAGCCATCTTTGGATTTTCCTAAAAGAAAAAAGTTCTTGTTAAATAGCTGTTAGGTTTTGTCTGCATTCGACTCTTCATTCCTTTCGGGAAATGCTGAAGACACACCAGGTTCCCGGTGCTATGTGTGGTCATAGGCTTGTTTTTTTTTTTTTTTTTAAGTCTTTAATGTTTTATATTGTCAGCTTATTTTCTTCCTTCAGTGCCATAACAGTTATTATCAGGAAAATCTACCTTTGGACATGATGCCAGGTGGTACTTCAATGTGCTGGCTGCATCCTGTGGTTTGGGCCATAAGGACATACTTCTCAGGCTTCTGGCTCCACGAGGCCCACTTACATGGGTTGGCAAAGGAAATATTGACATAAGCCTGTTTTATGTTTTCAGAAGGAGATGGTGTGAACGGTGCAGATGTCTCAAGTCTTACCTGTGACAGTTTCACATGGCTAACGCACCAGCCTTGCCAGTCAGAGGCTACTGAAGTGCCTTAGAAATTCACTTTTTTTTTTAAAGATTTATTTATTTACACATAAAGAACTGGGGCACAGGCCAGAGGTGCAGGGGCAGTGAGGGGATTCACCAGAGACAGAGTGGGGAGCAGAGCAGGCAGATCGAAGAAGTCCACTGCTGAGGGGAGCAGTGGGCGACAGGAGAGGTCTGCGGCACCCTGTGGGTCACCTCTGAGGCGGGGATCGAACTCGCACTGAAGCGGCTGCGGCCAGCTTTGCAGTGACGTGTCCTAACCCGTTGTGCCACCAGGGAGGCCCAGAAATTCACTTCTTAAATGTCTTAGAAGACTGAAAACCAGCACCTGTACTCTTATTTTAGACTTCTAGGCCATTTTAAGTGGAGCGCTCTCCATCCGAAGAGAGTTTTCAAAGCTGATAAATTCACAATCCCGGGGAAAGATGAAATTTAACAGCATGAGCTTGAGAGCTGGAGAAAACAAGGCTGGGCGGCTGGTTTCTTTCACTCGTCAGCACTCTCCTTTCTATTTCTTCTCCTTATTTAAATAAGCTCTCACTAGCCACGGATGTCCCTGCCGGAGAGGTCAGCATCACCACTAATGGGAGAAGGCTCTGGAAGGATGAAACAGTAGTAGGTCCACATTCACAGTTCAGGCCATGGCACAATTATTTGAGAAGGTCAGCGAAAGTCTCTAAACCGGAGCTACTAACATTTGAAGACTTCCCGACGTGAACCGAGAATACACCAGCTCAAATCTGCAGTGTTCTACTGCCTAGGAGGAGACGACTGCTCCTTATGTTAGCTGTCTCTAGCTCTCAGAGCAGATATTTCCTCCAAGGACTCCTAAGTTTCCAGGCAACAGCTACAGCTGAGAGATCTGCAAAGCAGGAATAATCTAGTCTGATAGGGGAGGAAAGATTGAGGCAGACTGGCATTAGCAGTGGAATAGAAAAGTGCATAGAGGCCCTCCCTGGGGGTGCAACAGCCACAGCAATATGAAGCTGGCCGCAGCCCCTGCAGCACGAGTTCGATCCCCGGCCAGGGAGGGACCCCAGGGCGCAGCAGACTTCTGCCTCCCCACTGCTCCCCTCAGCAGTGTGTTTCAGTGGATCTGCCTGTTCTGCTCCCCACTCTGTCTGTGGGGAATCCTCTCACCACCGCCACCCGCCCCTGCCGCCCCTTGATCTCTGGCTGCACCCCAATCCTTGTAGTCATAAATAAATAAATCTTTAAAAAAGTACATTCTTTTGGGAGCAAACTTTTAATGTTCCTTATAATTATTAATCAACTCCCTCCCCGCTCCATCCCAGTCTTACTGGGGAAATACGGGCATCTTGGGTATAGAAATCGAGAATGGCTGAAAAGTGAGGAAAAACTATTGTGAAGGGGGTCACCAGTAAGACGTCTTTGTTTGGTTTAGAATTTTTTTTTCAAGGACCTTCTGCTTTTTGCCTTGAGAAAAAAACCACAGAGTGAACTAGTTTTCTTAAGTTAGGAAGTTAAAGCCTGGTTGGAATGACAAGATAGTTTTAGTGCTAAAATCCAAAGATTTATGAAGATGGTTATTCATTTTTTCTTGTTAATTTCAGTTAATTTGTTCTTCATAGATCCTATTTCCCAAGTGAGTCTTAGTGATTCAGATACATCAGTGTATTTATTGTTGCTACTCTGGCCACTCCGTTCTGGATCAGAGCTTCTTGACATGTCCAGGGGGACACTTAGACTAAAATCTGCTCGGGGGTGTATAAATGCAGATGTCTAGGCCCCACTGCAGACCTGTGAACCCTGAATCTCAGAGGGTTTCATTTTCTTAAGCACGTTTAAGAACCATTATAGTGAAACTGTGCTCTCCAGCTCGAGTGTGTATTGGAATCACCTGGAGGGCTTGTAACAGTTTTGGATTTTATCCCAGAATTTTAGATTCAGCAGGGGTGGGCCTGAGAATTTTCATATCTAACAAGTTTCCTGGTGATGTTAATGCTGCTGGAACATACTTTGAAAATCAGTGCATTAGACTAGTGAGCGATCCATGTTTAAATAAATTTAAAAAATTACTGTACTAAAGTGCTGAGAGGGAAATAAAAAAGTACTATATGTGTGTATATGTATATATATATTTTAAAGATTTATTTATTTATGAGTACAGAACTGGGGTACAGGCCAGAGGTACGGGGGCCATGAGAGGATTCACCAGAGACAGAGTGGGGAGCAGAACAGGCAGACTGACAAAGCACACTGCTGAGGGGAGTAGCGGGCGGGTCAGGAGAGGTCTGTTGCGCCATGTGGGTCACCTCCGGGGTGGGCATCGAACTTATGCTGAAGTGGCTTTAGCTTCTCAGTGCTGCGCTGTAAGCTGCTGTGCCCCTATATGTATATGTATATATATTTTGTGTGTGTGTCGAAGGCCAGAGGTGCAGGCCTGAGAGGACTCACTAGAGACAAGTGGGGAGCAGAGCAGGTAGATCCATCAAATACACTGCTGAGGGAAGCAGTGGGGAGACAGGAGGGGTCTGCTGCTCCATGGGGGTCCCTCCCTGGCCAAAGACCCAGCTCAGCCTGTAGTAGTGATAGTGCTGAGACGACCCCCTAGGCCACAGGGAGGCCTGAAAGTATTAACTGTATATTCCTACCATTAGGGAACTTAAATAGTTGGGGAAGATAAAACCTGTATTTAAAAAATATACCAATGAAAACAATGTTATATGTAATATTTGACATGGGTTGAGGGTAGTTAGGAGGAGTTGGGGTTTGATTTGGGCCCCAAACAATGGGTGGGTCTAAGCTTCAGGAAAGAAGGACAGCTGTTCCTCAGGGGATAGAAAGAGGGAAAGAACAGAGGTGGCCTGTGTAGTGATGGGGACTTGTTGGTCAGGCTTAGCGCTCTGTGGAAGACACCAGGCCGAAAAGGCTGGTTCCGGACTCTTGAAGAGCTTTGATAGACTGTCTCTCTGGTCTGCCTCCACCCATTTCTTTCTGAGCAAAAAGAGGAAGTCTCCGGCTGGGTGTGCTAGAGGAAGCGCCAGAAGTCTCTCAGGGCCTGCGCCATGACGGCAGTAACCCCTGAGCCAATTGCACAGGCCACAGGCCCCTGCACACCAACCAGCTGGGTCCCTCCACCCAGCGGGAGTCACCGCCCAGTGCAGTGTTTGGGGAGATCAGGCCTTGCTGTCTGGACGGGCCTGCAGGCTGGCAGCCATCATGTCTTTAACCTCAGCTTACCAGCACAAACTGGCCGAGAAGCTGACCATCCTGAATGACCGCGGTCAGGGCGTGCTCATCCGCATATATAACATCAAGAAGGTAGGCGTGAGCCGTCACCCCGTGTGGCAGGGAGTCTGAGGCCTGCGGCTCCAGCGTCGACTCCCTACTCTGGCGGGTTAACTCGCCGGCAGCTCATCGCATTCTACCGTCCAGCTAGTATGGGGGTGCACAAGACATGCCTGCTGCAGGGGTTCCCTTTCCTGGGTGTGCAGCTACTCACATCAAAGTGTTTAATTTGCATTGTGATAGCGATGCGGTGGGAAGTAATTGAGTTCCCAGTCCCTTGGCTAAGCGCCGAGGTGCAGAAATCGGGTCTTGTAATTTACTGCTGATACCCCACTCTGACGACATCCAAAGTTCGGTAGAACGTTGGCAAACATTTTCTGTGAACGTTCTTCCCCGAAGAGTTAAAAATAAGTATGATATTTAGATCAAAAAGGCTGGAGCTCCTGGGTCTGGGGCAGTTCCTGCTGTGGGGTGTGTGTGGAGGGGGCACAGCAGCCCGGGGAGAAGCTCTTGGCAAGGGCCAGGCTGGGGGCTGGACTGGGGCAGTAATTACGGAGATGACGGCCTAGGTGGGAATTGGGGCTTCCTGGAAGCGGAAATGGGGGGCTTGGGGCGGGGACTTCTGTCCATTTTGGGACGAACCACATCACCCGGAATGTGTTTTCTGTTCCGGGTCTCCCATAAGCGCTCTTTGGGACGAGACCCGACGGACACAAGTGTGGCCTGCGGAGGCTCTCGTCTGCCCCTGGCCGGCGGCTCGTCTCACCCTGTCCGCATCAGCCTGGGCTGGGAGAGCACTTCCTTTTTCCTGGGGGCAGACAGACATTAGCCTTTCCCCAGCTACACAGGATGTCCAGGTTATGCGGCTTTCTGCTAGTTGACTTAATGTTCTGGAACTGTTTCCCGCTGTATGCTGATGCTTTTTGTAGTTAATTCCCACAGCCTCTTCCCTCAGAGAACAAGTGATGTAAGCAGAGGTGTGTTTCTGAGGGCGCGAGTCAGGGTTGCGTATATTGACATAGAAACTGTGGCTGGTTTATCTGCAGACTTGTGCAGACCCCAAATCCAAGCCATCTTTCTTACTGGAAAAGTCCATGGAGTCATCTCTCAAATACATCAACAAGAAATTTCCCAACATAGATGTCCGAAACAGCACGGTGAGAACTCGGTGCCTCTTTCCCATCTCTGAAATCACTATGCTTGAATCTCTCTGGCTGTCTGTCCACTGGAGACTGCCTCAGCCCAACCCCTGGGGGTTAGGTGGTTGTAGTCTTAAGGATTCTGAGATAGGATGGAAATCTCCTGGGTAAATTGTAGCAAAGCATCACCTTTCTCTATTGTGAGATGAACGAGAATGCTTTTTTTAAAAAAGATTTATTTATGCACACAAGAGCTGGGGCTCAGACCAGAGGTGCAGGGGGTGAGAGGGTTCCCCAGAGACAGAGTGGGGCCCAGAACAGGAGGGTCCACTGAAACAAACACACTGCTGAGGGGAGCAGCCGGAGAGAGGGCTGCAGGGCCCTGATGAGAGACTGAACTGAGAGACTGAACTCAAGCTTCAGCGGCTGCGGCAGCTTCAGAGAGACTTAACCCCTTGTGCCACCAGGGAGGCCCCC